CCGAAATTGGTACCGAGAACCGTGGATTTTCACTGGTATTGGTACCGAATACAGAAATGTTGGTTCCGTGACAACACTATATTATTATTGTTGTTATTATTATTATTATATTTATAATATTTATATTTATAATTCATTTTAATGTTTTTGATTTCAGAATTGTGATTTGTTTAGCACCGTACTTTACTCTGAGGAATTCGATCATCAAGAAGAAAAAAAATCTCAGAAAATTCCACTTTTAATGCTTTTAAGCTCTCACACACACACAAGAGCTGGTCGATATACAATATTTACTGTATATGTAATATTACTTTGTTGGTAATATAGAATTCTACCAACACTGTGATTTTACTGTGCATTTATTTTATTGATTTTTTTATTGCTTTAAACCTCGGCAGCAAAAATGCCTTGATTTTGTTTTTTAAAAGTTCTCAAACGGAATTTTACAGGCTTTGTAATACATGCCTTCATTATTTATAACCACATTTACTCTTTTGAAAAATAAATAAAATAAAATAAAATAAAAATATTGCCTAGGCGTAACACACACACACACACACACAAGGCAGGGATAAACACAGCTCATCAGACATACTATAACACACCAAGCAAGCTCATGTCAAAGCCTCTTACTTCATCAAACATACTCTGGTTATATTAAGAGCCTTAGGGGAATTATTCACAACTCGTACGTGTTATATTCTCACAAATGTGACAATTCAAACCGTAAACCACGACTGAAGTTACACAGCGGTCGTTGAGTATAAAAAACAAATGCGCTTTTATCTGCAAGTTGCTTTGCTGGGACTACAGCGCGAGATAATTTTTTTGTTTCTTTTTGCAATGCTTCCTCTTTCTGCCTGTTCAGCATGGACGCAAGGCTTCGACTAGTACCCATCATTCATCTTTAGAGGCGATTTGAGTTTTACTGTTTATTTTTATGAAGACATGCAAATTCATGCCGGGAAGCAATCGGCCTCTCGCTCCACGGCATGAATTTTAATAGATTGCTTAAAAACTCGTAGAGTGCTCTCCACATTGCAGTTAAAAATCTGCTTCTTAGGAAGGAATCACAGCGACGGGACAAGTGGCTGGACAGAGATTTGAGGGAAAATGCAGAAAGTCAGGCAGCACCTGTACACAGAAGCATTTGAATGTGTCTTTAAGTGAATCACCATAACCATTTTCCCCTTTAGTCATGCTGGAACACATCATTTCAAACACGTTAGCGTAACTGTGCCTGCCTAAACAGTTATTACAACAGCAGCGTGAAACCAGTGACAAAAGTGCAATTTACGCTATCAATCTCTGAAGGAGAGCTGACAGAAACACCAGCAGCACTGCCTGATTAAAAGAATATCTCACCCAAAACATTTGTCTCGAGACCCCTTCATACTGTGCAAATGAGTCGTGCTCAATCTAGCTGATTTTGAATGTCCAAAGGGCTATAACAGATAGGCACTTTGTGATCTGAGTTTGTAATAGTCATATGCTAATGTTTTTTTTGTGTCAGGCCATCCAAATGTAAATGAGTTTGTTTCTTCATCAGAACAGATTTGGAGAAATTTAGCATTGCATCAATTGCTCACCAATGGATCCTCTGCAGTGAATGGGTGCCGTCAGAATGAGAGTCCAAACAGCTGATAAAAACATCACAGTAATCCACTCCAGTCCATCAATCAACATCTTGTGAAGTGAATTTCCATCAAGATTTTTTTAACTTCAAACTATTCCTTCTATCTAAAATGCGAGTCCTCTATCCATACTATTGGTTTTATTAGCTGTTTGCACTCTCATTCTGATGGCACCCATTCACTGCAGAGGATCCACTGGTGAACAAGTGATGTAATGCTAATTGATGCAAGTTTCGATGAAGCTGTTCATTGCTGAAATAATTCTGTTCTAATCTACATCTTGGATGGCCTGAGGGTGAGTACATTTTCAGCAAATTTTCATTTTTGGGTGAAATATTCCTTTAATCTTTTTCGGCACTTGACAGCATCTGGTCAGTATAAACTTCACTGTACTGCGTAATAACATGCTTCAAAAATGCCTACCTTTTTCCTGAGGAAAAAGAACAGCATACAGGTTTGGAATGACATGGATTTTCATTTCATTCAAGTAATGAAGCCCAGACCTGCTGTAAGAAATAAACTCAGAACCATATGAAAGCCCAGAGTGATATGCGATGTTCCCACAGATACTATGTGATGTGGCACATTACCAACAAATCAGTATAATATGTCAAGCCTCCAGGTAAACTGCGCTCAAGGGAAATGCTGTCTGAGAAAAGAGCCAGTGAGGGAGCTAATGATGAACGTTACGGGATAAACATCTCAGTGTGCTGAACTGTGTGGCTGCACAGATCAGACCATGAAAAGCCACCAAATCCCTGCATTGTCAATTACCATTATCGGCATCTCTGGCTCGCGGCTCCAAGATGCTGAACTGATCTCACGGCTGGCAGAGCGCACGCTGTGTTGCGCCCTCTCAAAAAAGCATGGCATTTTCGTTTCTGAACATTTGCACTTAGGAACAGTTCACCCAAAAATTTAAAATTCTTACGACTTAGTTTCTTCCGTGGAACACACAAGTGGACAAATTCTGATCCTGGCTGCTATTTTTATTTCAATCACAACAAATAGAGGCTCAAATTCAGGCTTCAAAAAGGAACCAAAAATCACCATAAAAGAATCATTAAAGTGGTTAGTAAGACTCGTTATTTCACAATAGTTCAGTTCTTTTGAAGCAATACAATAGTTTTGTGTCCTGTAAAAAATATTTTAGAAGATTACTGCAGTATGTTTGTCAAGAAAATACTACTTTAGTCTTTCCACTTTTTAATTCAATGCGTTACTTGCCATTTTTTGTAATTATTTGTGAAATGTACTGAGTGAAAACTGATTTTATACCAATTTGTTCCAGTCTGAAATGACACACCAAAATTTAAGCTGTTATATTCCATACCATACTTAAATGGTAATTAAAATCTGCCATGCAAAGAGAATACAAATGACTTTTTTAAACACCAAATCTGAGTTTAATACAATAAATCACAGAATGAAACTGGCAAATTTCAGCAAATGTATTAAAAACATATGTCCGCATTGCTTTTTACGCTTCATGTCACACTGCCTAAACTGTGCTGAATAGCAACACACTGTCATCCGGTTCAGGTGCTAAAATATGCAAAAACATAACATCATACCATGATACATTTTTGGATCCGCTGTGCTTTATCAGCCCCAGTGTGTAGAGTCAGTAGTGCATGACCTGTCAACCGAGCTGAGACCAGTTGCTGGAGGAGTTTCTGACATAACGCTGGATCAAATGAACGTGCTGTATTCAATGCCTGCTTTTGGACATTGGACTTGCACTCGGCTTTATCTGATGTTGGGTAACTGAGACACTCTAGCACTCTCCTTGACAGCTAAATGAACAAAAAAGCAACAAGGCCAAACGCATTTGTTGCACAGCAGGCATACAATTTTTTTAGGGTTCAGATTCCACCTAAATGTTACATTTACAGCCTCTCTGTTTGACAAACTTAATTTAAATATAACACTCTCCAGCCTATGTGGTTTTTCAATGGTAAAAACTAGAGCAGCTGAAATACTATTCAAAATTCGAGGACGGTAAGTTTTTTTTTAAGGTTTTTGAAAGACGTCTCTTATGCTAGATGCATTTATTTGACCAAAAGTACAGTAATATTGTGAAGTACTATAACAATTTAAACTAGCTTTTCTTTTTTTTATATTGTATTTCTATCTTAATAAATTTTAAAATTGTATTCCTGTTAGGGGTGTGCGATATATATCGTCTGCGATAATATCGTAATTGTTGTTTTAACGATGTGCGATTTGACATTATCGAGTATTTTGCAAAAACCATTCAAAACATCCCTACAGAGCGCACGCATACATTACGTGAAGTCTAGACTAGTGCGTGTGTGCATTTAGTGTTTTCTTTCACTGCATGATCTCATATCATCCTTCAGAAATAATTTTAATATAACGATTTTCGAATTAACAAATTCTTGATCGTTATCAATGTTGAAAACAGATGTGCTGCTTTTTTTCAGGATTCTTTGATTAAAATAACATTCAGAAAGAATGTGTTAAATTGATCAGAAGTGACAGAAATCTTTCGTAACATTACGAAATATTTCTGTCACTTTTGATCAATTTAATACATTCTTTCTGAATAAAAGAATTAATTTCTTACTTGACTCAAAATGAACTGCAGACCTATTTCTGCCAAATGCTCAGTTGACAATTAATGCTGATAATCTCAAAATAACCAGTATAATGACTAAAACATCAGTCTATCACTAAAATATGATTCCAATAAATGCAATCTCACACCACATCAGATAGAGCCAATACATGACACAATGTCTATGAAATCTTATTTGAGAGGCATAAATCAATAAGCATAAATCTCTTATAATATTGCAGAAAGCCAAAACCCATATCCAACACAGAGTGTTAAGAATATTACCAACCAGAGGAGACTCTTCCAATAAAATTCCACCTAATGAAAAGACTTTAAAAAAACACCAAGAAACAATCAGAAAACTGCTGTCCTTCAAAGCATAAAAAACAAGAAATTTCAAAAGCTCCCTCGTCTTGTTCTGGCATCTCTAGGTCAGCTCATTAAAACAGATGGGGGTTCAGCAGTAAGTTCAGCATGAGGATGTGAAATCAAAGCCATATGCTTCGGAGCAGCATCTGCCATATTATTAAAAACACAACAACGGCAAGACGACAGGAACATCAGCAACAATAATGCTCAGAGGAAGAAAAAAAAAAACACTATCCTTCCTAACTCTTTGAAGCCGAGGAGCAAAATGTCACATCCGTCCTGCACAAGTCCATCAGTTTAAAACGAGTCTAAAAACTCAAACAGTTGGTGCTAAAAGTCAATTCTTTCCCACAGCCATCCTATCTCAAAGCGGCCCATAAAGGAATAATATATGACGGCGCGCTTAAGTCACATACCTGCAGTTGGGTGGAGGATCCAGAGTGATTTCTGCAAGCTCTTTCTGGATTCTGCGAGGGAGAGACGAGAGAAAGGGTGAGATGGTGAGAAAGCTGTGAGAATTGCAAGCAGCCAGGGAATTACACTGCCCTCTACCTCTGCTGCGTTTACTGCACGACTGGCTCTCCCTTCAGCACAGCTAACATGGCTGCTTCCTCTTTGTTCTCGGAGGCATAACCCGAATCCCATAACAGGAAAACTTTGCCGTGCTCGTTTCTGCCTTTCCCTCCATCGCACACCGCTGATCTTCACCTCAGCTCAAAGCCCGCTCCCCTTAGCACACACCCCGCCCCTCGTCGGAGGGTTTAAGTCACTTTAAGCACAAAAGATTTTCTTTTAAAGCTTATATGCAAATGAGGCAGAGGGAGGGAGGGGGGTGTTCTTGGGCATATTTGACAAGAGCTTTAATGCACAGCTCTGGTGCCGTTACTAAAGCATTATCAAAAGGAGCCAGGGCAGGATTTTGGACATTTTCTAAGAATAACAGTTTGTTTTTTTGATCTGTCATTCCACCCACATTGAGAAAGTCTTTGGTGTTTTAATGAGCATTGATGCGGATTGATTGGTTACCGGTATTTTTTCAGTGCCAATGAAATTTGAGGGTAGAATCGCTGTATTTACTAGTCTCCACGAGGCAGGGGGATTCAATTCACTTCTCTTGTTCCTCAAACAACTTTACATAAAAGTTCTGGGATGCCTCAAAATAACTTTTGCCAAGTAAACATGGTGTGGTTCCTTGAAATTAAATATAAGCCGATCACACGGCTTCTTTGCTCATGCAGTTAAATAATTATCTAAGCTTAGTGCTTTTACTCTCAAGTACGGAGCACAGCCGCAAAAACTGTTAACTGGCACATTGCGAAAATGAACTTGAATGCACAAAAAGTGATCATAAAAAGCATCTAAATGTGTTGACAGGACTGAATTAAAAAATGACATTTAATCCTCAACGGCAAAACAGATAGATCTGTCAGCTTTACCTCTTCGCGCTGGAGGATAATTTGGCTGTTGTTTTGCTGGACAGTTTGGTGGATTTCTTCTGCTGTTGTGGAGGCGTGGGTTGTTTTCGCTCCTCTTGTTCTTCTGGTTCTGGCACCGGAGGATCTCTCTGATCCGCATCGGAACTGCCGCTGCTGGTGCTGGGACTTTCATCATCTGACCGTTGTCTTTCACTAGACATTTTCCACCTTTGTAAAGGACAACAAGAGGTTCTGAAGCAGGGCAGACTGCGATCACAGGAGTCTACTGGGGTTTAAGCAAATCTCAAATTTGCTCAGCGGAAACTTAAACCCTAACCTCAAGGCCGCCTGGAACCCCTAACCCTTACGTTTCTAAATACAAACAGAAGCAAGGAGGATACGCAAACACAAAGTGACATATCACAGAAACTTCATTTAGCCTATTTCTACAAGCAATAAGAATATAATGTCAAGCTCTTTTAAACACTTATTTCTGTATCGATTTTTATCAATTTCAGGCAGCTTTAATATTGCTTATTTATTAGACACACCAGAATCTATACCAGTTTCTACTAATAAAGTGATCATTAGTTACAATGGCTCATTTATGAGATTAAAGATGTTACTAGTGTAAGAACCCTGAATGCAGTGTAAGTCACTTTGGATAAAAGCATCCACCAAATGCATAAATCTAAATTTACTAGCAACAATTGTCTCTAATAAATAGACCTTTAAGGTACAGTGAAATAGATAGTTGAAAACTAATAAACATGGGTATCTAATAAACAGGTATACTAGAAAAACTGGAATAGGTGCCTGCAACAGCTGGAATGCTTAGTAGCTGGAAGTGAATAGCTAATATCTGAATCACAGATTCCCATAGAATTAATTGTAAAAAAATATGCTTCTAGTTAATGGAATAGTCACTTGACACTACAGGCAGGAATGAATGTCAGTAATGAATAAACACTAGCAAGTAGAATCTAATGAGGCTACTAGTCAGTGTAGGATTACTTACACTAGTAATTAGGAGAAGTACCAGTAAACACAAAAATAGGTATTTGTTAGTTTTAAGGAATAAACGCTAAAACGGCGTGCCAGGAGAGCAACAACCAAAATGAATCCACAGTATTTGGACTCTGAAAACACAAGCAAACGTACAGATGATCCGATCCAATTCCATCAAACTGTTGTCATTCTGAAGGACAAAACGTCCACGTTTTCACACGTAAAGCCACACACACACACACACACCAACTTAATCCATTAGCGACTGAGCTGATAGTATTTGTAAATAACGCAGCAGCAACATTGTTGCAACCATTATGACGTTTCACATGGATCTGCGATACATTGTATCAGTTTTGCGCTTAATGTTACAAGCTGCAGCGACCATCACACGTTCAAAAAACCCTCCTCCGCGAAAAGAGCCTCGAGTTTTATCGCTTTCCATCTGCTGAATATGTGCAAGTGGCTGAGCTTATGAGAGTTATCGAGAAAAACACACGGCGGTTCCAGCAGAATCTGACGCTGAGAAGAAGGAGATTTCAAGAGCTGCAAAGGAAAGCAATAATTGCACCTATTTGCAGCATGTCCACCCCCTTCACTTTAGGAGAACGAGGCGATATCGCGAGCGGATTGCGAGGAAAAATCGAGTCGTTTAACGCATGCCGGGTCGAAAAGATTCAGATTGGATCTTTTAAAATCCTTTGTAAGAGGTTTGTTATGGTAGGAGGCACTCCAGTATCAGCATGGTGTACCAACTGATGCGTGAAGTCAGTTTCGAGCTCCCCTCACTTCAGACCTGAAAACACTAAGAAAGGACGATGTTACCCCGCCTAATGTGGACTCTACGAGACCCTTAGAGCTTCTTCTTTACCTTAGACGCGGTCCTGTCCTGATCTGGGGTGGTTAGGAGTGTTAAAAATCCAGTTGAAATGGAGCCGGGAAGACGACGGGCTCCGGCCGAGCTGTGAACATTGGAGAGTAGGAAGGAGAGGAGGCGCTGCAGTTTTACTCGGGGCCGACGGGTGGCGCTGTACAGCGCTTGGACATACGCGTCTACCGCCTCGGATGGTCCCACACAACCTTTAAACCAACGTGAAATTGTGTTATCTCACGATATGCTCCACCTGAGCAGGATTTAAAAACCTGTCGCTGTGCGTGTGAAGAAGACATCGGCGGCGACCGTCGTGTCACTTGTCGAGAGCGAGGGGGGATGTTGTGGCGTCGGGAGGAAGTTTTGACATGTTGTTGTTGTGAGGGCTCCATGGTGAGAGCAATCAGCTCACGGAAACTTTGAGCGTGGGTGAGAAGTTTGACTGGAATTCCAGTGCAGGTGGGAGTCCCTGTACAGCACTGCATGACTTACTGCATGACTTCTCTTTTGTCTGCAACACTTCATTCCGTGCCGCTGTATGACTCCTCAGGAGTCAATAGTGTGTACTTCTCTATTCTATATGCTCTTTTAACTTCTCTATAGTCTGTATTACTTTCTGCTCTATAGTATTCTGCATGAGGTCGTTATAGTCTAAACTACATTCAGCTTTCTCTGTAGTCACCTGTTTTTAGTGTACTGTATGTTTTATGTTGATATAGTATGACTTTAATGTATAGCGCACTACTATAGTCGTTTTTACATTCTGCTCTATAGTGTATACTGCATGACTTCTAGTCTAAAGTACACTCTGCTTTGTAATAATGCATGACTTAGTAGTTTATATGCACTGTATTGATTCTCTGTAGTCAGTAAAGTGTACCTCTATTCTATAAACTGTTTTACTCTCAGTAGTATATTTTGCACAAATTCTATATAGTATATGCTTTCTCTTCTGTGATACTACATGACTAATCTATGGCCTTCTGCTTCATTTCTTTACTGACATTAGTATGTCATTAGCATGTAGACTGTTCTATGTTCTGTCTGTCATCTATAAACTATGTCTGTTGTCTGTAGTGCTATATAATATATGACTACCATTGAATTTCTGTGTAATCATTAATTTATACTTCTCCAAATTATATGCTTACTAGTCTATATTACATTCGGCTCAAAATAGAATTTGCTTCATTACTTCTAGTCTTTAGTATTTGGATTTATAATACCTTACTCTATAGTACCTACTAGCATGACTTATGTGTAGTTGTAGGCCAACATATTGCTCTATTATGTATAGACTTTTCCATAGTGAAGAATATACTGCTTTATGATGCAATACATTCTGTATGACCTTTCTTTATAGTACATACTGCTCTAAAGCATATACTGTTTAAGTTCACTATAACCTATTTTAGGCCTATATTGTGCTGATTCTCAGCTAGTTGGTCTGGATGGATTGAACATTATATGTATATAACATAACCAAAAATTTTAATATTATGTAGTTCATGGTGTTATAATACATTCTGTTTTCCCTCAATTGTAATGATTACACTCTGCTGTGCATGCTTAGTTCAAGTGTATCCATTTAAATTCTAAAGCTAGAGTTCATTCATTATATTTAATCTGTTTAGCTATATTTGAGACACTCCACTGTAGACAATAGCATCTGTTTTTTTGTAATAAGTTATTTGACATGTTAAGGAACATTGCCCAATTATTTCCCTTGCTGGATTGTTAGTCATCCTTCCTCTGACAGCATTTAAAAATAGCTCTGAGGTTGCAAGTGTATTTCTGTACAGTAAGGCCACTCGGGTATCTCAAAAAGGCACAGTTTATTCTACATTACTGGCTACCACCCAGATAGCTTTAGCAAGCTTTAGTGTTCAGTCCAAACTTTAAATGTGCACAGGCTTAGGATAATCAGTTTACTGAGTCGCCTAATTGAACAGAATCATCTCTGAACTGATTTGAGCGGAATAATGACACTATTGTCTTTAGAGGAGAATTTGTGTCATATTTGAAGAAGTTTGCATCATTGGTCTAGCACAATTTGTTCAATTAGTAAACAAGTTCAATTCAGCACTAAACAGATTTATTGAAGACATTAGCATCCTTATGGGTAAAAACTATCTGAAATATCCTTGAATCCCAAGAATAGATTTGTCGAGCCTGTTTTCAGTTAATGAACGGAATATTGTAGCGCACCTCCCATCCAATAAATCGCAATAAGCTTTGTGCTTTGTTACTTTAATATGAAACAAAGTCTCAGATTTCAAATTCTGTCCATTTTATTACAATATTCAAACAATAAGTATTATTTTGGCGCTGTTTAATGTGGAGTGACAGATTTAACCTGATTAAACGTGAACTGATCATCTCCTCCGCTTTAATACCAGTTACAGCACAAAATAAACATAAATGAACATCCAAAGGTCTGTTAAAAGAAAGAGTACAACTTACCAAAATCCATATCATGTAATTGCTCTGTCAGTGTTTCAACCGCGGAAATACGTCAATAAAACATCTTGTGAACAATGTCACATAAAGTCACATTTAAGTCAGAAAAAAAAAAACATATTTGGTGGCCATAAACTCATTAGTCAGCGCGAAAAATTAACTTTAGAGAGGAGCATTTTGCTAAATATGCACCATATAATATATTAATTGTAATTTTTTACTGTTTTTTAATATTTAATTTGTTTGAATAAAGTTTTAATGACAGCCACCATTTAAATGTTTATATTTCAAAATCTCATCCTATTGTTTAAGTGCCGTCAAATCGATGATATTACTGAATATTAAGTGTCTCCAACAAAGCAAGCCAAAGAGGGACAGTAGCAAAGAACCCAAACTCAGTCAGGTGACAGAAATGGAGACAATTTCTTTTGCTTTGATATTTAGCTATCAGTGCCATTCAGACATTTTAAGTGTGACTTCAAGTGTCAAGCTCATATCTGTGAGATCTTTGAAACTCTATTGTTCTTTGTCAGTGGACTGAGATGTTAATCTCCGTATCATTTGTATGGCTCATACCAGCTCAGTTTCAGTTTCACCTGCTTTGAAATGTTAGATTGAAGAACGCTTTTGAAGCAAATGATGTCACGCTCCACTAAACTAGATTGCTGTGATGAAAGCGACACTGTTTTCCCGTCTGCTACAGGGCCGTCACTCTAAGCGCATTCTAAATGATAATCTCCAGGTGAGATGGGAGCAGGGCAGGTTTAGGAGGCTGTATTAGTTTTTTCTTTTTTCCAGCGTCTCGGCAGCGAGATGTGTACGGGTGTCTCACTTCTTGTGCTTATCGTGTGTGACAGCGCATTGACAGCAGGGGGAAGGAAAAGAAAACAGCCGTGTGGATTTGTGCTTACCACTGGATGTCAAAAAAATGACATACGGGAGCTCAGAGTGAAATACAAAAGCCATGATATGAATCAAATATAAGTGGAAAGATAAAACACTTTAGAAGGCTTGTGAGGACAGGAATGTTGATATTAAAAAATTTACTCGTATCTAAACATAAATTATGACTTTAGACAGTCTGTCAAAGGAAAAGTTTCATGGCGCTCCAAACCCGTATGATTTTATGTCTTGTGTAGAACAGAAAATGACTTCGCAGAATGTCCAAGCTGCTGTTTTCTATATGAAGATGGATGGGGACAAGGGACTTTGGATTGTAATTGATGACTTTACATTAAATAAGAATTTACATTAAATCCCCTTAATGTAACTCTTGTCTCTAAAGGGGTTGTGGCATGAAAAGTCAAATGTGATCGTTTAAAATATAAGAGGTCTTTGTACCATTAAAACATCCTGTCAGTTTCGTAGCTTAAATGTCCTCATAAGCATTTATTTAACCAAGCACCAAAAATGATACAATTGGATATTGTGGAATCTGTGATGTCACACGTGAAAAATGCATTTGCATATGAATACTTCTAGAGCAAGACATTGACGAATGTCAATGAACTGGCGTTCAATCACTTAATGGCTGACCAGATGCGAGCATCACTTCAAAAGCAGATAGAACCCGGTATAATCACTGACGCTATCTACACTGTATACAGATGCTTGAACAGTTTTTTTTTACTTTTTTCTTTTCTGAAAATTTGACTGAAGATTATTTCGTAAACAAGGCACAATGTAATCATGAGTTCGCAAAGAAATGTTTGTTGAAAGATAAAGCAACTGTATTGGATCCGGCAGCAGCTGCAATGTTTTCAAAGCATTAACATGCTTTTTTCATGCATTTGCATGAGCCAATCAAAACAGTGGTCATTTACTGACAAGCCTTAAGGGAAACGCCCCCTAAAATTGTTCATTTTGGCCAGTTTGAGTGTTGAAAAAGATACTTTTTGCGAATGTATGACTAAAAAAAATCCATGTTATGACCCCTTTACAGTCAGCATAAAAAGCTGTTTGCAACCCATTTTACTTCCATTCTTCAAAATATTTCAGTGTGAAGCAAGAAAAAAACGATTTTATCCATTGTGAATTGATTGAACTGTGAAGAGTATATTATGGGCAGTAAGTCTCTGAATGTGCATTAGGAAAATAAACATTTTAATATCATATTGGCTTTAAATACAAGAATTATGATCATTTTTTTTCCTTTTCTTTTTGAATTTATAGCACAAGATAGCCTATAAATGCCATGTTGCATAGAGAAGCTGTTTCTGATTGAATATGCTTGCGTGTGCTGAAAAATGCACGGAATGACATATACAGGAAGAAGAGTGCATTGGGACAGACAATAATAGTGCCTATAACAAGGGAGCTGTTATTGCGCTTGCCAAGAAAAATACACTTTTTTTTTGGTCTATAACAGGGCTGTCCAAACTCGGTCCTGGAGGGCCGGTGTCCTGCAGAGTTTAGCTTCAACTTGCCTCAACACACCTGACTGGAAGTTTCTATGCCTAGTAAGAGCTTGATTAGCTGGTTCAGGTGTGTTTTATTAGGGTTGGAGCTAAACTCTGCAGGACACCGGCCCTCCAGGACCGAGTTTGGACAGCCCTGGTCTATAACAATGAATGATACTGCATTTTGGAAACTAAAAATCCCTGTGGGGTTGTGATTGACCTATAACCGTTTGTGTAACAGTTTGAATGCAACAAATTGTCT